GTCCCAAGTCACCGGTTTGAATCCCGAATCGAGGAAAGGGTTTGACTCTGTTTAACAGTCGCGAACAAGAAATCCGGGTAAGGAATTCTGTTAACCCGGGAGAAGGGGTTAGGCACTCCCGAGTTCCGTGGTTCTAGCACGGTCGCTCAACTGCTATATTTGGCTAAAGTCTGATTTTAATACATGTTATCCTATTGTGCAATTTTAGAATTGTTTAACCGCTTTTAATTAGTTTTTATGAAAGTGAACGTTGTTTAAGAGCGTATTTATGGATCACGACACATGAAATGCACCCGGATCTTTAACACCTCTTATTCAACGTTTTGGGATTTGGATTTGGGTCGCATGAAATGCACACCCGTATTTAAGAAGGTAATATTATTAAAGTGCGCGCCTAAAGTGTCTAGCGTCTTGTTAACTTTGCGGGAAGCCATGAAAATTCGCTAAATGGCATGTCCCAAATTTCTAAAATATTTTTAAGAAAGCATTTAATGAGGACCCCGCAATTTATGCATTTTGTTTGGCGAGGCTCATCTCATCTTATTATTTAAAGGCCATCCTAGAGCAAACTATAATTTTTCTATTGGGTTCATCTCTAAAGAGCCTTAGTTAATTAATATTATTAAAGCTATAGTTTCAGGTGATCAAGGAATTTGGGCTTCAAGTTCAAGTCCACATTTGAACAAGAGGCACACCTCTTAATTCAAGCATGCTACTTAACTAGGAGGCCCAAAACCTGGGTCATGAATTTAATCCCGCAAACTTTAAAACGAATTTAAGCCTTCAGCATTGAGTTTGGAATGTGATTCAACAGAGGGAAAGCGAAATCGATTTGTCATATGGACTGCTACTAGCCCTGGGCCTCGACGCAAGCCCAATTAAAAGATAAGTAGGACTGGAACTGGGCCACGCATGAACGATGTTGAGGCCCAAACAATAGATATAGACCATCAGCCCTGGGCCTATAGGCAAGCCCAAGCTTCAAACATTTGGATTTATTGATTTGGATCAAAGTGAATTCAAGTTTTATAACTACCACTTTAATTCTGAACTACTGAACTCCTATGAACATTTGATGTACTCAGCGATTGAATTAACATGATTAGGATTCATTTACTAGGCCATTTCGACTCCAACATGAGATACTAGAATTGACGAAAATGTAAAATCATTTTGAACCTATTTTCTGGAACTATTACTTCTTTCGAGCTAGCACTTCAAATTGACAGAATAGCTAAACATTATCCATATCATAACTAATAGTACANTGCAGAAAGTAAAATCCCTTCACTCCGGATAATTGTTGAAGCAGAAATTGAGGATAGTGAGTGGGTCAAGACTCGGTTGGAGCAGTTGTCCTTAATTGATGAAAAAAGGATGGCCGCGGTTTGTCACGAGCAGTTGTATCAACAAAGAATGGCCCGCGCATATAACAAGAAGGTGCGTCCCAGGAATTTCGAAGTGGGACAACTCGTGCTGAGACGCATTCTTCCCCATCACCAGGAAGCAAAAGGAAAATTTGCTCCTAATTGGAAGGGTCCATACATAATTCGGAAGATATTGCCAAGAGGAGCACTGTATTTGGGGGATATCGAAGGAAATGATCCCGAAGCAGCAGTCAATGCAGATGCAGTAAAAAGGTATTACGTCTAGGCCTCCTGTGGTGACGGCTTTTGTGCAATTGAGATGACGAAGGTTTTCCTTCCCGCTACCCCAAACACTATCAAACCTTCGTAAACCCTTTAAGCCGGTTACGCTTCTTTGATCACCCTCTTTGGAACCCGGAAGTACAAAAGGAAAAGAAAAGAAAAGAAAAGAAAAGAAAAAGAAAAGGAAAAGGAAAGAAAAGAAAAAAAAAAGAAAAGAAAAGAAAAACAAAACAAAACAAAAACAAAAACAAAAATTGTTCCCCTGAACTACGTTTGACTTGATTCCGAAAGGATACGTAGGCAGCCACTCCCTGTAGTTCAGTCACACAAAAACAAAAGTCCTAAATTCCCCCAAAAAATTGAAACTAGGGCAGATGATATAATGGTTCGGCCATGAATCCGCCGAAATGGTTCCAAAGTTGTAGTTCCCCCTAAAATCCTTTACCTCAAAGACCTAATCCAAGTCCTTCCGATCAATTGGCAAAGGTAGGGAAGCGAAAAACATCATTGCTGGAATCTGATACAATTCAAATTGAGAGAAATAAAATGAGAGAGTCTTATCGGTGAAAACTTTCGGGCACCATAAAGCGATGGTGAGTAGAGAAAATGAAAAATGAGAGAGTCCACTTAGTGAAAACTCGCAAAGAGCACTATCGAGCGATGGTGAGAAGAGAAATGAGAGAGGTCGATTGGCGAAAACCCGCAAAGGGCGCTGTCGGCCAAAAAGAAGACATCTCACCACTAAAAGAGTCCTGGCAAAGTTCCCTGGTTTTGAAATGCGGATCAATGGGTTTACGAGAAGCTGGAAAGTTTTCTGGGTCAGGCGTCCAGTCCAAGAAGCATGTCATGTTCATTTGAAGCCAGCATGCATCCCAGATAAGTCCTTCTTCTCCCCCGAAAGGGACGCTTCTTTTTGCCTATTGTATAATGCTTCTTGAATCCCTTTCGGATTTAACTCTGATTCTGTGACTATTACAAAGAAAGGGTGGCAGGACCGGTTTCACAGGGCTCCGCCTGGCAAGAGTCAAAGAAAATGCCCAGCCTCAGCGAGCGCGTCAGTCCAATCCCGATTGACCATGGTGGTTGATGCTTTCAAAGTAAAGATATTTGAAAAGGAAGAAAGTCAAAGACAAAGGTCCTAAGGGCAGAATAAAGTGAAAAGGCCAGAGCCCACACGGGCGAGTCATCATGAAATCCTAAAAGTTGAATCCTGTCGGTTTAAAAGGAGATTCACCCTCAAAGCCAGCAGGCAGCAAAGTTCGCAACGGAAATGGGGCCGGGATCAAGCAATTGGGATGATCAAGGCCACAAAACCAACCACCGTTTCAAACTAACAAATTGTTCTTTGTTGAAAACAGGTTTAATTCAAAGCAATCATGCAAGAAGCAGGTGCAATCCAAAAAGGAAATGAAATGCGCAAGCGCTGAAACAGCTTTGCAACAGGGAATCGACTAAAAGGAAGTCCCTCCCCAAATTCTTTCATGCGTTTTGATAAAAGAGAAAATAAAAAGAAGAAAAAAAAGAAGAAAAAGAAGAAAAGAAATGAAAATGAAAATCCCAAAAGAAAAACAAATCATGGTAACATAGGACCACATTCCTTAAATATCCCGGCATAACCCGAGTATCTCCGTGGAATAACCCAAGGAGCTTTTTCTTTCCAAAATCCCGGCATAACCCGAGGATCTCCCTGGCATAACCCACGGAGCTTTTTTCTTTCCCAAATCCCGGCATAACCCGAGGATCTCCCTGGCATAACCCAAGGAGCTTTTTCTTTCCAAATCCCGGCATAACCCGAGGATCCCCCTGGCATAACCCAAGGGGCTTTTTCTTCCAAATCTCGGCATAACCCGTGGATCCCCCTGGTATAACCCAAGGGGCTTTTTTCTTTCCATCCCGGCATAACCCGTGGATCTCCCTGGCATAACCCAAGGAGCCCTCTTCTTTCCGTCCCGGCATAACCCGAGGCCCCATTTGTTCTTTTTCCGGCATAACCCGGTCATTTCCAGCATAACCTGGATTCATTCACAAGGATACACAATCCTGATTTGATTGCTTAGATATGTGTCACAACTAATTCACGAAATTTTCCTAATGAAAACTGGGGCAGAAAATTTCGTTCGTTTGTTTGTTTTGGTATCTTAAGCAGGTTAACCTCGAGACATAGGGTGCGAGAAGATCGATGGAATGAGTCTCAACCCAGAATAAAGAAAAGAAGAAAAGAACAAAAAGAAATGAGCTCAAATGTGAAGCAAACAAGGTTGCAGATTGCTCAAAATCTGATTGGAGTCACCAGCTCCGCTGATCCCGCTTTGATCCAAATGCTGAAGAAAGAACCAACACCTATAGCTTGCGAGCATCAAGATTCAGATCGGGTCCACAGCAAAATCAGCTAAGACTCAAGATCAAGCTTCAAGAGATTTATAGATAGGAATCTTGTAACTCGTAGTTGATAGGCCTAGCTAGCTTAGCTTTTGATTTTCTTTTTTCGGTGTAACTCAACAAGCTGAAACAGCAGCAACAGCAGTGAAATCACAGCTTCTCGGTAGTCCCAGCTACCGAAACTTCCAGAACTACACTGACCTGATTCCTTTATAGCCAAGGATATGTAGGCAACCTCTGAAACAGGGTTCGGTCAGGCTCTTTTTAAAAAATGCTTTTCATGGAGTTTCAAACGGGCAAAAATCCCTCATATTGCTTACTTTATCTTTGCCCGAAAACTCGTCATGTTTCCAAGCAAAGAGGGGCAGCTGTAAGCACGTGATTTTTGCCCTATATGAAATACTCCTATAAAATCCCAAGAAAAATAGATTTTTGTTAATTATTTGCCATTTTAGGATTTTTTGTAGAATTTTTAATTGTTTGCATTTTGTGCATGTTTAAGTTTTAGTTAAATCATGAAAAATACTAAAAATATCATGCATGACATTTAGGCTTTATCTTTACATTTTTAGGATTAATTAGTAATTATTTATTTTATAAAAATCGAAAATCACAAAAAAATACTTCATTTTTACACTTTTTTTTTCTTTTATTGATTTTTCCTCTTTTAATTTAGGAATAAGTAGTTTTTATAGTTTTTATAATTAGCTAAATTTCACATTTTGGATAATTTCGGATTTTTAATTTGTAGGATTTTAATTAAAAGAAAAAGGAAAAATTAGAAAATAAAACAAAGAATTGGATAAAGAAATGTTTGTCTTGTGAAAGTGGGCCAAAATTAATGCTGAGCCCAAAGCTTATACCCAAATCTGCCAAAACCCAATAACCCACTCAAAGCTCAATCTTCCTACCCAAATACCCATTATCCTTTGCCCTAATCCCTCACATACAAGGGGAGCTAAGGCACAAAAATATATCAGAATTTGGAGAGCCCTTTTCTCTCACAAACCTTGAAGAGTGGCGCCTCTCTACTCAAAACCAAGAGACAAACGACCAGCCCCCTTTTCTTCTTCACCATTTTTTCCAACCCCAAAATCAAAAGCTAACCATCGGATCTCCCTCCCACTCATCTGCACTCACTCACTTCACTCACGTAACACACACCTTTAGAAGCAAAGAAAAGTGTTAGAAGTAGAGAATTTGAATTCTAGATCTGAAGGAAAAGAAGAGCTCCAAAGAGCAAAACAACAATCAAAAAGGGATTTCCAATACTATTTTGATTTCGGCTACATCAGTGCATTAATTTCTGGGTTTCGAGTCGATTTTTTTTGGATTTTAAATTGGAATTGTTCTGTTGATTTCGGCTGCTGCTTTTTTCATTGTCGCTTCTGAACTCCATCAGCTCTAGCATGGCCTTTATTTGGCCATTGACATTTGTTAGATTGATTCATGTGCATTAGGTATGTACCGAAATTTTGTTTTTTTTCTTCCAGATCTGTTATAATATGAGAACACATCTGCCTTCGTTTTGTCTCTATTAGTTATTTGGATTTATTGACTTTGATTTTAATTTAAACTCAAAAAATGATATCTAGTCTATAGTTGAGTCATGGCTGTTCTCTGAAGTTAATTTGTCTGTTGCTACTTGTTTGTGTAGATTTAATTTTAAACAATGAGTAAAATTCCGTTAATTTCAATTGGAATCTGACTGTTGGTTAAATCCGAGCTGTTTAGAAGATGAGCAGTCTGCATAAATACAAAAGTTGATGCACTTAACAGGAACTGGCCTCAATTTTTGTTGGTGCTCTCATTTTATAATTTTCAGGAGAAACAAATGGTAACAAATGATAATGCCTGGGCACTAAAAATCAAATATGATAAAGTTGAAAAGTCGAGTTTTCAAAAGTTGTGATATCACTAGCTAGGATTTGGATGATAGGCTGTAAAACAGAATGTTCCACTAGTGTCTTTGAACACTTTTCTTTTCTTATTATTAAGTTTTTGTTTCTTTTTTAGGTGCAAGTTGTTTTGAGTTGCGCAAGATGTGATTTCTTTTCTTTTCTCGATGATTTGGTATTGTACATAGTTTGAAGATGCCTTTGGTTGAATAGACTTTGTTGCTAAGTGACTAGATCATCCCTTTCACTAAACAAACTTATAACTCGAAACTTTAAGGTTCGTGTTTTGATGAATTGCTATTTGTCGTTTACTGGGTGAAGGCCTAGTGTATTACCCTAAGCATGTATATAATTAATAGCCTAATTGAAACATCAATTTAGTTTTAAATATGAACCTCTTTAATTTGCTTTAGTTGAGGACAATCCTTTAAAAATAAGTGAGGCGTGCCACGCCAAATACAATCTCAAAACCCATGGTCTTCACTTAATTAATTTTAACCCTTAGAATTCGAGGCGTGCCATTTAGCAAATTTTCATGGCCCTCGCGAATTTAAAAACGCGTAGTTGCTTTAGGCGCGTTATTTTAATAACATTATCTTCTTAAACTCGGGTGTGCATTTCATGTGACCCAAATCCAAATCCTAAAACGTTGAATAAAATATGTCTCGGATTGCGAGTGCATTTCATGTGACGCGATCCAAAGACATGTCTTAAACGACGTTCAATCTTCCTTAAAATTAATTAAAAGCGGTTAATAAGTTAAAATGCACATAGGCTAAAACATGTATTAAAATCAGATAATAGGCCAATTGTAATAGTTTAAGCGACCGTGCTAGAACCACGGAATCCGGGGGTGCCTAACACCTTCCCCTGGTTAACAGAATTCCTTATTCAGAATTTCTGGTTCGCAGACTTCAAATGAAAAGTCGAAATTTTCCTCAATTTGGGATTCAAAATAAACCGGTGACTTGGGACACCAAACAAACCTATCCCAAGTGGCGACTCTGAACTGAAATAAATAATCCCATTTCGAATAATGTCACTTAAATTGGAAAAACTCCCTTATATACTACCTTTCGGGGTGGTGTGTAAAAAAGGAGGTGTGACAGCTCTGGCGACTTTGCTGGGGATACGAACCCAGAATTTCGATTCAGGGTTCAAGAATTCGAGCTTAGTATAATTATTATATTTGGCTTTGTTTGATTTTCCTACATGTTTCATGCTAAATGTGCTAAGTGCTTTACCGTTTTGATATTATCTGAATTGTACATATAAAATTGTTACGAAACCCTTCTCTTCTCATCTCCGGGGATGTGCTCACTGGTTGAGACTCCCTATTCTCTTAGTGTCATACCTTAAAATAAGAAAGAGGCCGGACAAGTTACTAAGCCGGATGGCCTTTTGGTTCCCGGTACGTAGCCCCCTCCTCGACTCGAGTTATCCGCTCGGGTACACAGTCTAGAACATATACTCAGGTTTTGAACCTAAAATAACTCAACCTCATGCCGGATCCCTAGTAGGACGTTTGTTTGCATCATGTGCATTTGACTTAGGGGACTCAACACAGGGGTTGGGTCCGTCTAGGACAGGTGACCTGAAATGAATTGACCATCCTGATGCATCTTACATGCTACTTGCGCATTTATTTGCTCGGCTTTGCATGTTGATCGGCTTGACTAAATAAGTGAAAATTGAGAAAAAATAAGCAGTGTTAGGACTAAGTGAGGGTGACCATTTGAGAAAAAACCAATGCCCAAATAATACCGAAATGCTGCCGGATTTTTGAAAAAATGAAAAATTGAAAAGATAAAAATATTTGAAAGAAAAACAAGAAAAACATAGAAAGAAAATTATTGTTCAAAATAGTTTTTGGCAAATCTGACCGAACTACGCTGGTTTGATTCTCACCGGATGTGAGATACGTAGGCGACCCTCAGCGGGTCCAACCACCCTTTTGCAAAAATAGCCCAAAAGTGTCAATATTTTAATTTTTTGTCATAAATAAGTCGGGTGATGCCATTCTTGTTTAAAATAAGCCAAATGTCCCCAAAAGGGCGCCGGAAGGCCGATTTTGCAAGAACAGCCACCTGGAGTCATTTTTAAAATGGTTTGCGGGCACATCCTTAAAATCTCCTTCCCGGAAGTGCTGAAAGGCCGTATCTGCAAAACCAAGTCTTTGTTTTTGTTAAATGGAAATTTTGCAAAAATAGCCATTTTTTCTGTTTAAGTCAAAATAAGTCATTAAATCACTTTAAATAAATGTGCAGGATGAGCACGATTCAAAATAAACCTTTCTCAATCATGAATAAAATCCCTTTGGAGTTGCGTCTGTGGTGAAACGATCTAGGAGGAGAAGGGCAAGATGAAGTCAAAAAATATTTGAAAGGGCTTACCGGTTTGTTGGAAATTACGCCTCGGGGAGACATCATCAGGGCATTAGTTACATGCTGGGATCCGGCGCACAACGTGTTCCATTTTTCAGACTTTGAACTTACCCCGACCTTAGAGGAAATAGCCGGGTATATCGGACGTGCTGAGGTTCCTTTAAGACACAAGTACTTGATTGCCCCGAGAACCGTGGCCGTGCACAAATTCTTAGACTCACTGAAGATAAGCAGGATGGTCCACAACACGGATTTGGCGGATGGCTTTTGTACTCCACACTTCATATACCATAGATATGGCCACATCGGAGGGTTCAATAACCCGGAAAACAAGATATGTAGCAAAGGAAACCGCCAAAAATGGGAAGAACATAGATATTTTGCTTTTATGGTGGAAAACAAGTAGTAGCAGCAGCAACAACAGTGAAATCACAGCTCATGGTAGTCCCAGCTACCAGACCTTCCAGAACTACACTGACCTGATTCCTTTATAGCCAAGGATATGTAGGCAACCTTTGAAGCAGGTTCGGTCAGATGGTTTTCAAAGATGCTTCTCCTGGAGTGCCGAGCTGGCAAAAATCCCTCATATTGCTCATTTATCTTTGCCCGAAAACCCTTCGTGTCTTCGAGCAAAGAGGGGCAGCTGTGAGCACGTGATTTTTGCCACGCTTAAATTACTCCTATAGAATTCATTAGAATTGGGATTTTTCTTTTATTATTCGAATTTAAGGAATTAATTGCGTGATTTTGTGTTTGTTTGCGTTTTGTGTACATTTTTAGTTGAAATAATTCATAAAAATTACAAAAAATATAGTACCTTTGCATTTAGGACTCAATTTTATATTTTTAGTTTTATTAGTTAATTGACATTGCAAAATAAGAGAAAATCACAAAAATAGTCGTTGTCCATCTTTACATAGTTCTCTTTTTAAATTAGGATTTAGCTAATTTTAGATAAAATAATTAGTTTAGTTGTAGAATTAAATCAGGTCTTTATTTTTGATTTTTGTATTAAACAAAAATTTAAAAAAAAAAGAAAGGAAAAAGAAAAGAACGGAATTAATTGAAAAGCAAATAAAAAGAGATGCAAAATCAGGCTGGCCTGATATTGGGCCAGTGCTAAATAGCAGCCCAAATTGGACCAAAACCCCTCCCCAAATCCGGTCCCCAGTCCAAGCCCAAATCCCCATTTACCCGGTCCAGACCCCCCATATACAAACGACGCCGTTTTGGTCTAATTAAATCTGAGTCGTCTATCATCTTTAATCCAGCGGCTCCTAATTGATCTCGATTTTAAATAAAAGTGTCTGAAATTTGAAGAAACCTTAGAGACAACACCCTCCTTCCTCGTACCCCCGCCTCCTTCGTCGGCTCCACCCTAACTCCGCCGCCGGAAATCGTCTCACGGCGGCGGCCGGCCTTCAAACTCGTCCAAATTTTCACCATAGATTCCTCCCTCCCTCCTCTGTCCGAATCCATGCCCCAATTCCTTCGAATGTTCACCAAACCCTTCAAATAACTAAAACCCTAGCGCCGCCTCCGCCGCACACGGCGGCGCTGCCACCCATACCATACCAAATTTGTACTCCACAACCCCCAGGCCACTCTAAGCCCCATTCTCATGTTTATTGCACAAGAATCCCAACCGAAGTCCTTCAATTTTACATCTAGGGTTCGAATTTTCTGGGCCAAGGCCGAATTCACTCGCACAAGCATCCTTTGCATATCACTTGTCCAATACAGGAGCATTTGAGTCTAATAGTGAGTTTCCCCCTATTCTTCTCTTGTTTTTATTTCTTTCTTCTTCTGTTCTTCTCCTTTGCTTCCTGTGATTTGATCTTGCTTTGGTAATTGTTGATAATTAGTTTAGTCGTTGTTTGAATGCATTTGATATATATATTAATTCAGTAAGCTTTTTCGTTTATTTCTGTTTTGTTTCTTAGTTTTGGGTTCTGTATGTGTTTCATTCTGTTCCAATAATTGTTTTGTAGTTTAATTTTGTTTCATTTTGTTTAATCCTGGGTTGGTAGTTTAGATTTTAGTTTAATTTTTGGTTCGAATCTGTCTTTATCTGTCTTTGATTCATTAATCGATCCTGTTTGAAGCCTTGTTTGAATTTCAATCCCTTATGATTGTTACTAGCTGGTGTTAATTAGTTTAAGTCAGTTTAATTAGTAATTGTCATTAATAATTCCATAGTTTGGTGTTTAGTTTCAAATAATCCTAGGCTTAGTTTAGTTAGCCCTAGTTAAATAAATTGTTTGGTTATAGCTGTACTAGGCTAGTAATTTCAGGGGTATTTAGGGGGTATTTTGGGTATCTAAAATTGGTTAGAATGCTGTAGGTTAAACTAGAATACACTAGACTCTTCTAGAAGAGGGTCTTAGTGTAGTTTCAGCAGTCTTAATGCAGTAACTTGGGCAACAAGCCAAAAATTTAGGGATTAATGTATAAAAACTGAAATAAAAAGGGGGAAAAATGAGTGAATGAATTCTAGAAGCTTCCTCCCTTTTCCTGCCTATAAAAGGCAGTCCTCATGCCTTCTTTCAGGAGTGTTTTTTTGAAATCTGAAAAATCCCCATAAGGTTCTAGAAGTTTTTTACCCTATACAAAAGTCCCAAAAGTTTTAGTTTCTAAAACTCCCTCCCAAAAACGCTTTATGCAAGCTTAGCATCTGATTTTTGAATTTCGAATTCAAATACTCTTAAGGTTCTCAAAAACCTTCATCCTAGATCTAAAATTTCCAGAAAAACCAAAAAAGTAGCAAAAACAAAAACTCACAAAAAAAATACTCCAAAAATACGTGTTCTATTGAAATTCTTAGGTTACTTTCAAGTTGTAGTGTTTAATTTGCATCTTCTAGCTCGGTTTCTGGTGGCTGAAGTCTTCAAAGTGTTCCGTGTTCAATTTCAAGTAAATTTGGGTTAAAACCAGTGTGTTTTTGGTCATCTTGCTGCTGTTACCCTTCTATCATTCCTTCCTGGGTATTGTGGCTTGATTTGGGTTGAAAATTGGCCTTATTTTGCTGGTGTGAGCCGTGATTTGCTGAACTGCTGCTGACCTCCCTCTTTTCTCTTGTTACTTTACACTTCCAGGTACATATTCGAACCATGATTTGGTAGCTTTGAAGTGAAATGATGAAATGAAATGCTCATCCATTTGCCTCCTGAAATGTAGTTGTTCGAGCTGTCATAGTCGAATAGATAATAGTTGATCTGTATTTGTTTAAGTTTACTTTTGCTTTGTGTTTACATAATCCCTGGATTGTATAACTTGGACTGCTTGGGACTGTTTGAGACTTTTAAATTTGATATGTTTCATCTAGTAGTAGCATTAGTATGAAATAACTTAATGTCTTATTTTTGGTTCGATTCTTTGGACATTTGCTCAGTTCAGAGAAATCAGTAGAAAACGTCATTTGTAGTGCAATTAAATCAAATCTAGTTATCATATCCATTAGAAGCTGAAATTGAATTCAAAACAGATACACGTTTGTATTAGTACAAGAGCAGGCGTATTTTGTAATTTTAACACGCTAGTTAATCTAGTTGTTTCATTTGCAGATCTAATTCACGCATAGAAATCCTTAGGATGTAGTGATTGAAATTGATGTGGTTTTTAAGGTTATGAATTCATTTGGTTAATCATGTATAAATCAGTTGAATATGTGTAGGATAATTGGATTCAAAGGTTGGCATGTTAGCTTGAATTTAGAACTGATTGTTTGTTTACCAATAATTAAGGCAGTTGTGAGTAAAATCAGTAGGTTAAAATGCAAATAAAAATCAATAAGAGATCTGGGCTCATCTGAGACCCCAAACGTGACTGTTTCTGCTCAAACCAGACTTGGGCCTGACGTTTAGCCCAGCTTCTCAATGGCAAAAGCCCAGCATATTTCTGATCAGACTGAACTTTACTGAAGCCCAATTGCCGGGCAGCTTCATGTTACAAGGATTGGGCCAAGTTTTGAGGCCCAACGTGCTGAAGGTCCATTTTACTTGTTTAAATTTGGGACTTAAGGCTTGAGCCTCTTTGAATACTCCTAGTAATAATAGACCCACATAACTAATTAATTAGGTCGTTTAGAGACAAGAATCAATAGAAAATTATAGTTTGCTCTAGGATGGCCTTTAAATAATACAATGAGGTGAGCCCCGCCAAACATAATGCATAAATTGCGGGGCCCTCTTTAAATGTTCATATTAAAATCCTTAGAATTTGGGACGTGCCATTTAGCGAATTTCATGGCCTCCCGCAAAGTTAACAATGCGCTAGTTGCTTTAGGCCCGTTATTTAAAGAATATTACCTTCCTAAACTCGGGTGCACATTTATGTGACCCAAATCCAAATCTCAACGAAGTCGAAATGTGTCAAAAACCGCGGGTGCATTTATGTGACGTGGTTCGAGGCGTGTTTTCACGACGTTGCAATTCTCTTTAAAACATAATAATAAAAGCGGTTTAAAGTTAAAAAGCACATCAGTTAAAACATGTATTAAAATCAGATATTTTTTTTAGCCAATTATAATAATTTAAGCGACCGTGCTAGAACCACGGGATCCGGGGGTGCCTAACACCTTCCCTTGGGTCAATAGAATTCCTTATTCAGAATTTCTGGTTCGCAGACTCCAATTGGAAAGTCGAAATCTTCCTCGATTTGGGATTCAAAATAAACCGGTGACTTGGGACACCGAATAAACTATCCCAAGTGGCGATTCTGCTAAATAAATAATCCCATTACGAATAATGTCACTTAAAGTGGAAAAACTCCCTTATACTACCTTCGGGGTGTGTGAAAAGGAGGTGTGACAGCTCTGGCGACTGATGCAAAGGGAAATATTTTTCTCTTTCCCATTTTTCATGTTTTCAAAAATCCGGCAGCATTTCGGTACTATTTGGGCATTGGTTTTTTCTCAAATGGTCACCCTCACTTAGTCCTAACACTGCTTATTTTTTCTCAATTTTCACTCATTTAGTCAAGCCGATCAACATGCAAAGCCGAGCAAATAAATGCGCAAGAAGCACGTAAGATGCATCAGGATGGTCAATTCATTTCAGGTCACCTATCCTAGACGGACCCAACCCCTCTGTTGAGTCCCCTAAGTCAAATGCACATGATGCAAACAAACGTCCTACTAGGGATCCGGCATGAGGTCGAGTTATTCTAGGTTCAAAACCTGAGTATATGTTCTAGATTGTGTACCCGAGCGGACAACTCGAGTTGAGGAGGGGGATACGTACCGGGAACCAAAAGGCCATCCGGCTTAGTAACTTGTCCGGCCTCTTTCTTATTATAAGTTATGACACTAACAGAATAGGGAGTCTCAACCAGTGAGCACATCCCCGGAGATGAGAAGAGAAGAGTTTCGTAACAATTTTATATGTACAATTCAGATAATATCAAAACGGTAAAGCACTTAGCACATTTAGCATGAAACATGTAGGAAAATCAGACAAAGCCAAATATAATAATTATACTAAGCTCGAATTCTTGAACCCTGAATCGAAATTCTGGGTTCGTATCCCCAGCAAAGTTGCCAGAGCTGTCACACCTCCTTTTTACACACCAACCCGAAGGATAATGTATAAGGGAGTTTTTTCATTTAAAGTGACATTATTCGAAATGGGATTATTTATTTATTTTTAGAGTCGCCACTTGGGATAGGATTGGCTTTTGGTGTCCCAAGTCACCGGTTTAACTTAAATCTCAGATCGAGGAAAATTTCGACTTCCCATTTGGAGTCTGCGAACCAGAAATTCTTAATAAGGAATTCTGTTGACCCGAGGGAAGTAGTTAGGCACCCCCGGATCCCGTGGTTCTAGGACGGTCGCTTAATTTATTATAATTGGCTAAAAATTTGATTTTAATACATGTGTTAACTTATGTGCTTTTTAATTGTAAACCGCATTTATTATTATTTTTAAAAAATAATTGCAACGTCGTGAAAACGCGTCTCGAACCACGTCACATAAATGCACCCGCGGTTTTTGACACATTCCGACTTCGTTGAGATTTGGATTTGGGTCACATAAATGTGCACCCGAGTTTAGAAAAGTAATATTATTTAATAACGCGCCTAAGCGACTAACGGGTTATTAACTTTGCGGGAGGCCATGAAATTCGCTAAATGGCACGTCCCGAATTCTAAGAATTTTAATATGAACATTTAAAGAGGGCCCCGCAATTTATGCAATATGTTTGGCGGGGCTCGCCTCATTGTATTATTTAAAGGCCATCCTAGAGCAAACTATAATTTTCTATTGATTCTTGTCTCTAAACGACCTAATTAATTAGTTATGTGGGTCTATTATTACTAGGAGTATTCAAAGAGGCTCAAGCCTTAAGTCCAAAATTTAAACAAGTAAAATGGACCTTCAGCACGCTGGGCCTCAAAACTTGGCCCAATCCCTGTAACATGAAGCTGCCCGGCAATTGGGCTTCAGTAAAGTTCAGTCTGATTAGAAATATGCTGGGCTTTTCCCATTGAGAAGCTGGGCTAAACGTCAGGCCCAAGTCTGGTTTGAGCAGAAACAGTCACGTTTGGGGTCTCAGATGAGCCCAGATCTCTTATTGATTTTTATTTGCATTTTAACCTACTGATTTTACTCACAACTGCCTTAATTATTGGTAAACAAACAATCAGTTCTAAATTCAAGCTAACATGCCAACCTTTGAATCCAATTATCCTACACATATTCAACTGATTTATACATGATTAACCAAACATGTTGAATTCATAACCTTAAAAGCCACATCAATTTCAATCACTACATCCTAAGGATTTCAATGCGTGAATTAGATCTGCAAATGAAACAACTAGATTAACTAGCGTGTCAAAATTACAAAATACGCCAGCTCTTGTACTAATACAAACGTGTATCTGTTTTGAATTCAATTTCAGCTTCTAATGGATATGATAACTAGATTTGATTTAATTGCACTACAAATGACGTTTTCTACTGATTTCTCTGAACTGAGCAAATGTCCAAAGAATCGAACCAAAAATAAGACATTAAGCTATTCCATACTAATGCTACTACTAGATGAAACATATCAAATTTAAAAGTCTCAAACAGTCCCAAGCAGTCCAAGTTATACTATCCAGGGATTATGTAAACACAAAGCAAAAGTAAACTTAAACAAATACAGATCAACTATTATCTATTCGATTATGACAGCTCGAACAACTACATTTCAGGAGGCAAATGGATGAGCATTTCATTTCATCATTTCACTTCAAAGCTACCAAATCATGGTTCGAATATGTACCTGGAAGTGTAAAGTAACAAGAGAAAAGAGGGAGGTCAGCAGCAGTTCAGCAAATCACGGCTCACACCAGCAAAATAAGGCCAATTTTCAACCCAAATCAAGCCACAATACCCAGGAAGGAATGATAGAAGGGTAACAGCAGCAAGATGACCAAAAACACACTGGTTTTAACCCAAATTTACTTGAAATTGAACCAGGAACACTTTGAAGACTTCAACCACCAGAAACCGAGCTAGAAGATGCAAATTAAACACAAAACTTGAAAGTAACCTAAGAATTTCAATAGAACACGTATTTTTGGTGTATTTTTTTTGAGTTTTTGTTTTTGCTACTTTTTTTTGGTTTTTCTGAAAATTTTAGATCTAGGATGAAGATTTTTGAGAACCTTAAGAGTATTTGAATTTGAAATTCAAAAATCAGATGCTAAGCTTGCATAAAGTGTTTTTGGGAGGGAGTTTTAGAAGCTGAAACTTTTGGGAATTTTGTATAGGGTAAAAAACATCTAGAACCTTATGGGGATTTTTCAGATTTCAAAAAAACACTCCTGAAAGAAGGCATGAGGACTGCCTTTTATAGGCAGGAAAGGGGGAGGAAGCTTCTAGAATTCATTCACTCATTTTCCTCCCTTTTTATTTCAGTTTTTATACATTAATCCCTAAATTTTTGGCTTGTTGCCCAAGTTACTGCATTAAGACTGCTGAAACTTACACTAAGACCCTCTTCTAGAAGAGTCTAGTGTATTCTAGTTTAACCTACAACATTCTAACCAATTTTAGGTACCCAAAATACCCCCTGAATACCCCTGAAATTACTAGCCTAGTATAGCTATAACCAAACAATTTATTTAACTAGGGTAAACTAAACTAAGCCTAGGATTATTTGAAACTAAACACCAAACTATGGAATTATTAATGACAATTACTAATTAAATTGACTTAAACTAATTAACACCAGCTAGCAACAATCATAAGGGATTGAAATTCAAACAAGGCTTCAAACAGGATCGATTAATGAATCAAAGACAGATAAAGACAGATTAGAACCAAAAATTAAACTAAAAGCTAAACTACCAACCCAGGATTAAACAAAATGAAACAAAATTAAACTACAAAACAATTATTGGAACAGAATGAAACACATACGGAACCCAAAACTAAGAAACAAAACAGAAATAAACGAAAAAGCTTACTGAATTAATATCTATATCAAATGCATTCAAACAACGACTAATCTAATTATCAACAATTACCAAAGCAAGATCAAATCACAGGAAGCAAAGGAGAAGAGCAGAAGAAGAAAGAAACAAAAACAAGAGAAGAATATGGGGAAACTCACTATTAGACTCAAATGCTCCTGTATTGGACAAGTGATATGCAAAGGATGCTTGTGCGAATGAATTTGTCCTTGGCCCAAAAAATTCGAATCCTAGATGTAAAATTGAAGGACTTCGGTTGGGATTCTTGTGCAATAAACATGAGAATGGGGCTTAGAGTGGCCTGGGGGTTGTGGAGTACAAATTTGGTATGGTATGGGTGGCGGCGCCGCCGTGTGCGGCGGAGGCGGCGCTAGGGTTTTAGTTATTTGAAGGGTTTGGTGAAAGGAAATGGGGCATGGATTCGGACAGAGGAGGGAGGGAGGAATCTATGGTGAAAATTTGGACGAGTTTGAAGGCCGGCCGCCGCCGTGAGACGATTTCCGGCGGCGGAGTTAGGGCAGAGCCGACGAAGGAGGCGGGGGTACGAGGAAGGAGGGTGTTGTCTCTAGGGTTTCTTCAAATTTCAGACACTTTTATTTAAAATCGAGATCAATTAGGAGCCGCTGGATTAAAGATGATAGACGACCCAAATTTAATCAGACCAATACGGCGTCGTTTTGTATATGGGGTGTCTGGACCGGGTGAATGGGGATTTGGGCTTGGACTGGGGACCAGATTTGGGGAGGGATTTTGGTCCAATTTGGGCTGCTATTTAGCACTGGCCCAATATCAGGCCAGCCTAATTTTGCATCTCTTTTTATTTGGTTTTCAATTAATTCCTTTCTTTTCTTCTTCCTTTCTTTTTTTTTTAAATTTTTGTTTAATACAAAAATAAAAAATAAAGACCTGATTTAATTCTTCAACTAAACAAATTATTTTATCTAAAATTAGCTAAATCCTAATTTAAAAAGAGAACTATGTAAAGATGGACAAGGACTATTTTTGTGATTTTCTATTATTTTGCAATGTCAATTAACTAATAAAATTAAAAATATAAAATTGAGTCCTAAATGCAAAGGTACTATATTTTTTGTAATTTTTATGAATTATATCAACTAAAAATGTACACAAAACGCAAACAGACACAAAATATCGCAATTAATTCCTTAAAATTCGAATAATAAAAGAAAAATCCCAATTCTAATGAATTCTATAGGAGTAATTTAAGCGTGGCAAAAATCACGTGCTCACAGCTCCAATGGGTAGTAAGGACTGCGCCATGGTGGCGACCATTCAATAAACTCTTTCCAAGTGTACTCATATCCCAAACCAAAAGTGGTACCGTGTTTCTTCAGCTTGATGGGTTTGGCGATTCCCTGGAGGTTTTTGCCGAGCCCCTTGCCAGGTTCGTATCCACACCAATTCAATATGCTTTCAATCTTGTTATCCCACTATTTATCCTTGTCTACGGCGTTGACTCGCTCAATATGATGGTAGGTTTCCCCGCCTATCTTCCTTCTTCCTCCAATCACTGGGATGGTCTGGCGACTGTATATGGGATTACTACAATCGCCATGAATAATCACCTCTTGGTGATTCCACTCGAACTTTACTGCCTGGTGCTAGGTTGATGCTACAGCTCCAGCGGCGTGAATCCAAGGTCGTCCCAATAGCAAGTTGTAAGATGCTAGGATGTCTATCACCTGAAAATCAACGTCGAACAACTTTGGTCCCATTTGCAGACACAAATTGATTTCCCGAATTGTGGACCTTTGGGAACCATCAAAAGCTTTGACGTTGATGGCCCTATCCTTGATCTAATGAAGGCTCTTTCCCAATGTTCTGAGAGTCACCAATGGACAAATATTGAGGCTGGACCCTCCGTCAATCAGAATCCTGGTGATGAAATAATCTTCACATTGCACAGTGATGTGCAACGCTTTGTTGTGGCTTAGCCCTTCTGGTGGTAGCTCATCTTCGTGCAAAGTGATTTTGTGACTCTCCAATACCTGCCCTACCATGTTTGCCATTTCTCCTCCAGTTATGTTGTTGGGCACATATGCATCGCTCAACACTTTCAATAAGGCGTTCTTATGTGCGTCAGAACTTTGTAGCAGAGCTAAGATGGAAATATGGGCTGGCGTCTTGTTCAACTGATAGATGACTGAGTACTTCTTTGCTTGTATCTTCCTCCAGAGGTTATCAGGCCCAGTTTCAATGACGGTTGGTCGTCCAGAGGCTTGCTTACTGGACTCAGCGAGATGTTCTGGAGTATAAACCCTGCCGGTTCTGGTCATACCCTGTGCTGAAATTGCTTCTCCAAATTTGGTTTTTCCTTTCCTTTTCGCCTCGGCGGTGTAATCCCAAGGGATAGCCTTCGTATGGAACGGTGCTATGGCTAACATTGCTACAGGAATGGGTACCCTTGTTTTGGGAGGTAACACAGCAACTTCAAATGGCACAGGTGCTTTTGGGGATCCAAACTCGACCTCAATTGGTCCGGACACCTCTGCAGAATGAGGTGCTTCGAACTCAAACAGTATAGACATGTTCACTTCAGCATCCGCAGAAGGCTGGATCTGGACAACAATCGGATTAAGTGTGACTGTTGGTTTCTTCGGCTCGTCACCTTCGGCAATTAATCCAATCGACCCTTTGGTGTCCCAAATCATCTTCTATCTCGATCATGTGAACGCCTCCACCTTTGTGGTCAGGCAGCGGGTTGTTGCGGACATTCGGAGCAGGCTCCTTTGCCACAATGATCTTGTTGTCAATCAAAGCCCGAATCTTATCCTTCAGGGAGCACCACTCATTAATGGTATGCCCCTTCATGCCGGAATGGTATGCACAGGTTTTGTTTGGGTTGATCCATTGGGAAGGGTTCTCTGGAGTTATGGCAAGGATAGGGGTGACGTAACCAGAAGCTTTAAGCCTTTCATACAACTGGTCGATCGGTTCGGCAATGGCGGTGTACTGTTTAGGAGGTTTGCGGTCGAAGTTTGGTCGGGGTCTAGGGAACTTTTGGCGAGGTGATTGATAGTGAGCTTCTTGGGTATTGTAGGCTTGGTAGACGTGTGCGGGTTAGGAGTATTTGGGTGAAGTAGGCTGATATACGGGAGGTTGAGATGATTGGTAAGTAGGTGGTGGAGCCTTGTAAGAGGGCGAGGGTGCTTGGTAATTTGGGGTAGGCTCATATGTGAGTGGAGGTAATGGATAGGCTTGGTATTTGATTAGGGATTTTGTCCTCTGTGCAACCATCACGGCTCCCACATCCCATTTCTTGGACGTGCCACCAGACTATAGAGCCTTGTTGGTAGCCTGTAATGCTTCAAGGATGGTGACCATACCAGTTTTAATACCTTCCTCGATTCTCTCCCCTAGCTTGATGATGTCAGAAAATTTCTGACCCTCAATCAGCATCAACCTCTCATAATATTGTGGGTCCTGAGCTCGTACGAAAAACCTGTTCATCTGTTCTTCTTCTAAGGCTGGCCTGACCTTAGCAGCCTCTGATCTCCAACGAGTAGCATACTCGCGGAATGTCTCTTTAGGTTTCTTCTTCAAATTCTGGATGTAGAATACATCTGGCGCATTCTCCGTATTGAATCTGAACCTGTCCATGAAAACGGACGCCATACCTACCCAGCTTGTCCACTTCTTGGGGTCTTGGCTAATGTACCAAGATAGAGCATCTCCTTTCAAACTTCTCATAAAGAGTTTCATGCGGATCTTTTCATCCCTTCCGACTCCGACCAGCTTGTCGCAGTATGTCCTCAAATGGACTCTGGGATCCCCTGTGCCATCAAACATCTCGAACTTGGGAGGTTTGTACCCCTCGGGTAGTTCAACATCTGGCTAAATACAAAGGTCCTCATAATTCAGTCCCTCGATACCTTTGTTTCCTTCAACACCCTGGACTCGGCTAGTTAGCTTCTTGAGTTCTGCGGCCAGGTTCCTGATAAGAGAGTCTTTGTCATCAGACTCTAGTGTGCTTAAAATGGGTTGAGTATAGTGTGGTATGGTTTCCACATAGATGGGGGTGTTGTGGGGATGATCATTTGTGGAGTTTAGTGGTTCAGGAATGAGTAGTGGGGTGTTGTTCGAAGTGTGGCATGTGTTGCAGTGGTGATGGGGAGCGGGTTGGTTTTATGGTTTCGGGATGTTTTGTGGAGGTGTAGGATTTTGAGCATTGGGAAAGTTGACATCCGGGGTAGTGAGGGAAAATGATAAGTTTGCCAAGTTCCGAACTTGGTCCAGTTCTTCCTGAAATTTCAACAACTTCTGCTCAAGTTGGGCGGCACTTTCCTTGGAAACCTGAATACCCTGAGTAACCTCTACCCGTTCACCCGAGTTCTCCTTTGTGATGTTGCTCAAGTCTTCCATTTTTGCCTTGTTCTTGTTTCTGATAGGACTCGGAGGAGGAGGAGGTGGAGGGCTCTTGGATCTTGTAGAGTATGAGATGCCAGAGTGCACGAACTAACCTTTTGGGGGAGGGGAATAAAACAAAAGTAAAAACAAACAAAAAAAAAGGTAACAAGTTAGTGTGGATCATGAGGAGAAAAACATTGCAATATTTAAACACATAGTGCAAGAATATAAATCGCGTCCTAATTTGGGAGCCTCGTTGTGCCCGAGGTAGGCCTAGCGGCAAGTTGATTTGGAGAACTTATAATGCTAAATGCCTCATTTTATTGATAAAAAATAAGACGAATCCCAAAACGACACTAAAATCGTAGAAAGTAAAATGTCACTAATGGTCATTGGCCTTATTACATTTTAAAGCAAAAGAAAAGACTCCTAACTACTTGGTCCCAGAAGGACCTTCCCCAGACTCAACATCCTTAGCTCCATCGAACAGCTTCACCAACTCATGCAGTCCCAGCAGCAAATAAGCTCTAGCCAAATGTCCTCCTTCGTTTCCCTCAGCGTTCTGGCAGTTTTCAATCCTCTGGATGAACTTCCTTTCCAACTCTACTAAACCCCGCTCCAAATACCCCAGTCGCTTATTGGCGCTGACAGCCATATCCTTCCATTCTTCAATCAACATCTGATGTGCTTCTTGAATTTCCCGATGTTCGCTTTCGCACTCTCGAATCCTTTTGCGCAATTGGTTGTACTTAACCTGTACTTCAGCCTTTTTGTCGATGACCCTATGACCTCGAATGGACCCGGGTTGTCCCAACCCTCCATG